TCTTTTCCCCCATAATTTGTCCATTTAAGTCTTTTTTTTTAATTTAGAGATTAATTCGGTTTTTTTTAATACAATTGTTATATTTTCAGCGCAAGTTCTGGATAGCAATCAGTGGATTTATGATGTTTCGGGAATGCTTCAACACTGTGTTGTTATCCTAAAATTATGCCATGCATTGACCATGAAACTGTCCACCATTCAGCTTAATTCAGTTACACCGAAGCTGAACAAACAAATCCTCAGTGCTACAGCACGAATTATGTTTTGATGATTTGATGCGAGCAATGGCTGCTAATCATGTAAAAATGATGAATTTTGTAAATCTAGGATTTTAAAATCGTGATTTTTTGATTTTATGGCAGTACACGTTACTTATCTTGATTATTACTGGACATCGCGCATTGGTGAGTGGTACCCGCGAAAAGGTAAACAGCCATCCGGATAGGCCATGAAAAAAGATGCGCACATACATCGAATAGGCGGTCTGTACTACTGGATATACCTAACTTAGGTTCAAGAAGCCTGACACAACTACGCTTAGCGTGCAGTAGCATCTCAATGGTAACATCACTAGCATGCAATACCCACAATAATAGCCCCGGCGGACTTGGCTTTTTTGTGTGCTCTTAAAAATTTGTAGAAAAAAGCAGATGAAGGAAAGTTACTTGCTATCGCGACCCTAACAGTTTAATATTTTAGACCAGTCTTATGCCCTGTTTGTAAAAGTGCGTATGTAATGAAAAATTCAAGGTGTCACGTTCTTGCACCGTTACTTAATATTTTATCAGCGCTGCTGCATTTCCGGGCACTGGGCGCCAAATTCTGACGGTATTCTTGCGATTTTTCAGTAGTTTTTAATAGTATTTAGTACTAATATGCATCAAGTAAGGACGGTATAAAAATCCCAATTTCGTGAACTGTGCCACTGAACCGGATTTTCTGTGTATTTATACTTTAGGTTGATATACGTCTTCTGGAAGCACGTGCTTCGTCTCTTGTAAGTACATGTTGGATGCTTGCATTTCCATTTACAGTGATCAGCCCGAAACATCTGAATGCATTGGATCGCTTATTATACGTAAGCACCTTTCTGTTTCCTTCATTTTTCACAGAACACGAATATCTTGGCAAAATAGACTGTACGTGTAAAACCAATAACCTTTCGCTTTTTGCATTAGCCGGCTTTCTCATGTTTATTGGTTTTGATGATCCAGGAAATAGGCTTGAACAACTCTTCTTTGAACATGCCCAACTTTCTTAAAAACCCTTCCTTCGTTCCGCTCTTCTCTCAAAAAAAAAAAGAAAAAGTAAATGATCTTATTCCCAACATGGTCGATAGAAGGCTGCATTGATGTCTCCCATTCCTAAAGCGTACCCAGTCTTACTACTGTGACAGTGTTTACAGCTAGGGGATGAAACACCACAGAGACTGCATATTCGTATATCATTCTTTATTTCGTTTTTTATGCGGTTTTTGCTTCTATGCAATGCAGAAAACGCATATTGACGAGGGGTTGTCTGTCTGTGTGTGTGTGT